TGATGTTGCTCAAAGGAGTATACCCGAGCTGGCACCTTCGGCTTTGTCCCTTCCACCTTGGACTGCCCCGAGTTGGCTTTCGACGATTGGGTGGTTACTCTCGCCTCCCGAGGTAACACCGGGCAGTTGGCTATTTGATGCTCCGCACTCCTACAACGTAAGCATTTTCTTTCTTTCCTCCAACAGTTGTCCTCGGTGTGATTTGGTTTCCCACAAAATCCACAAGGTCCACAAGAAACCGAGGCTGAACTGCCCTGTGAGGCACTTCTCTGTGGGCCCCGTCCATTGTGACCACCCCTCGGCGGAGTCCCTCGTACCATCCCCGGTAGCCTTCCTCCTCCGGCTCCCCTTCCAAACTTGGGAGGGGTACCTTTATCCCCTTGGGTCGAACTACTCGCAGAGAATCCCCGTTTTTTCACCTAAAAATTCCTCACTTGAAGCCTTGCATTTTCAACTCGCAAAGCTTTCTCCACGACGTCACTAAAGGTACTGATCTGGGCTACCGCCAGATCCTTTTGAATTTTCACATTTAGCTCCTGAATAAAACGCCGAACTCTCCTTTGCTCTGTCAAAATGAGTTCAGGGGCGAATTTAGATAATCTCATAAACTGGCTCCCACACTCAGCCACCGATTGAGCCCCCTGACGGAGCCTAATAAATTCGTCGTCCTTCTTTTCCTCGACTAGAGGGGGAAAGTATTTCGCGTTGAAGTCCCTCATGAAATTCACCCAAGTTCTTGGTGTTTGTTCTCGGTCCCACTTCATTCGTATCACGTTCCACCAAGAACGTGCGGGCCCTTCCAATTGGAAGACAGCGAAAGTAACCTGTCTCTCCTCTGAATAGTGTAGGGCGGCAAAAATGTCTATCATTTTATCTAACCACCTTTCAGCCACGTCCGGATCTGGCCCTCCCAGAAATTTCAGTGGAGAGAACTTTTGAAATCTCTCGAGATTCCGATCTTTACCCTCTACTGGATGGCCAGGGTTTCCAGGTTGCTGGACAGGAGGTTGGCCCTGATGTTGCACTACGTGGGCTGACAAGTCAGTTATTTGCTGCATAGTAGCAGCTATTTGGACATTGGGATCAACCCTAGGTTCAGGGTTTGGTTCAGATGTGGTTTCCCTAGTACCCCTTTCCGTCGTGGGTTGCCTAACTCCACGCCCACGGTCTCGTCCACTACGAGTGCCCTCCATTGGTCTAAATCGATCTAAGGTCGAGGCACAAAGATAATATTAAAGGGCATATAAACATAGTCATCTAAGCATGAACAAATAACCAAAAGTAAACACCACATAAGACATGTATACACATAGAGCATTTATACATAGAACACATAACTGTGTCAAACAGTCACACAAGAGCAGCCAAGCAAATATATACAAAAGTAATCCCATGAAGCCAAAAGAGGGTCTTCCAAAATACACTATACAACCTAGGTCCCAAAAGTACAAAACAACTAACCAAAAGCTTTTCCTAGGTATCCCTCACACGGGATCAAAACATGGCCCAACGAACTCTAGCCTAGTTCTCAACTGAGCCAACCGACTCCTCCCCAGAGCTAGAGCTAGGGGCGCCTCCCACGCCTGGAGCTCCGTCACCTAGAACTCCCCCTGGCACATTGGCGCCAATCACTCTCTGGATTAGCGCCTCATACTCGTTAATAATGCCACCAGACCGGTCTCTAACCTCCCGGACCACCCTAGTGAGACGGCCGTTCACCACCTGTAATTGTTCCCTCAGAGCGTTCGTTCGCTCTTGCTCCATAGCCACGTCCCCCTGGAGCTCCCGAATACGATCCGCCTGCATCCTCATAATACCCCTCACACGCTGCAGCTCGGTGTGATCCCGAGCAGCGGCACGCCTGAGTCTCTTCCTCTCATCTAACACGACTACAACCACATGGTCCGCGTAGGAGTAGTGCTGGCAATGACCACAACGCCTAGTCCGACTTGGCCGTGCTCCAGCGCCGAATCGGTCCTCCGGGACTCTCCTCGTAGTCGACGACACGAAAACGTCTCCGAGGCGGCTCACCTCCCCTCCCACTAGCTCCGTCCATGACCTATAAGGATATCCACAATTTGCAACTTAGACAGAGTAATCATACTTAAACATATCCTAACACAATCTCCAAAAGTTCTAAGAATCAAGTTTCGGGTTCGCCCAGGTTATTTCTAACCTAAGCTCTGATACCACTTGTGACAGCCCCACCTTCCCCTAAAGCGGACCAAAGGGGTTAGCGGACTGCCTGCCCAGCTCTCGCCAGGACTACTAAAACGGTAAAACACAAACTCAAGTCGTTCCGGAATCTATTGGCGCGCTTAACCAAACCAACAATCATGAAACGGAAAACGAAAATCGAAACGGAAAGCAAATAGTGACTGCCACGTCACAATCCGACCAAGACCCAATCGAATACAAGTAATTTCTTATAATCCTTGAAAAGGATATATACAAGCCAAATAAAACACATGAACATAAGTACACACTTTTACAAAACCACATTCGTATATTTACACATCAAAAGGCAATATTTGAATCCAAACACAATTAGGGTTTCCAACCATGGAGGAGCTATACAAAATCTCTAAACTAGCTCAACTTATTCTTCAAAAGCAAAAGTCCAAAAGATAGTTCCCTGTAAGGAAAACAAAATTAACGGAGTGAACTTTCGCCCAATGAGGTACTATCACGTACATATACCAGGATCACATAAACATAAGAATATTCAATTCAAATACGTTCATCAAGTGAGTAAAGTCAACACCACATAACTATAGAGAATAAAAGGATACGGACGGCTCTCAAGAGCCCTTTTCCTCTTTTGCCATACTTGATCTCATCTCATTGACTCTCCGTCAATGTATACAGATAACCATAACCGTAGACTCCTCTTTACTCCGATTTTCCATCCACCACACATTCCCCTTATCGGGCCCGAACACCAAGCAGTACAGAATTGGTAATACTCGAGTATACCGGAATTAAGGGTCTCATACCCAAAGATTCCCAAATACAGTCCTCATGGCTTGTCAAATGTCCTCGACCAAGTTCTTACCGGCTCGAGTCAATTGACTTCCAATGAGGTAGAGCTCAGAGTTAACAGTAAAGGTCGTTGGATACACGTCCAAACGACACCAAATCAAGTACAATCAAGAGTATTTCAAATGATATAGTAAATAGTCAAGTAGGCCAGAAAGTATGAGAATGGTAAAGTACACTCTCGCCTCACCTAGCCTAAACAATAATCACAACTAGTCCAATCACAGAATTCAAGTATAAGAAAGCCACGGAATAACAAACATGTGAGTAGTACACTCACCAAGTCAAACAAGCAATTTCACAAGTTTTCGCCCGACGTGAGTCTCGGATCACCGGCACGCCCTATAATAATCAAGAAAGTACAATTAAGACTCGAACACGAGTCGAATACCTTTTTAAACAAACTATTAAGGCAAAAACCAAATATAGCTTGGAAATGAAAAACATATAACATTTAGGGTTAAAAGTAGAAACAACCCCTAAAACCGTTCATTTCTATCCAAACTCAACCCAACTCACAAGAATCCAATACCCTAGACATTTGGACAGCATTTTTCCTAAAATTTCAGCTTTTCCAACCTATAATCAACCATTCAAATGCATCCAAAACAACCACAAGCACCCAAACAATTCATAAGTCATTCAATATACTTCATTAGGGTCACAATACCCCTTAATCATAGCCAATTAGAAGCTCAACAACCAACCATAGAAAACCCCCAATTAGGAACTCTAAATCTGAAATTTTTCGCACAAGCGGAAATTTTCCGCAAATAACTGCAATTAATGCATAAGAGAGCTATTTAACACCATTTAGAACCATCAATTCAAGCCCAACCATATCCATCATAGGAAAACAGAAAAATTCCCACAAAAATTAGAAAATTAGCTAATTTCACTCTAATCCATAAAATCTTCCTTAAAATCAACTAATTAGCTACCATAAGGCACCAATTGGCCATTATTAGGAACAAAGAGTGAGTTCCAAGCAAAATACCTTAACTCTTCAAGAAAGGTAGTAGCTTAGGGATTTTTCTTCCAAAACAACTCCACCAAGTCTTTCAAACTCCCTTAGCAAGTCAATTTTGTGGACTAATTCACGAAATAATCGGTCGGTTTTCAAGATTTGTGCAAGAATAGAAGATGAAAGGTTGAAGCTTTCTTTTCTTTTACCTCTAGAGAGGTTCGGCCAAGGAGAGCATGAAATGAGGATAATTTGGGTCAAAATTAGTCTTTTAGTAAAGTTAAAGAAAGTTAGGCAAAAGTTAGGCAAGTCTACTCCAATAAGAAATGGACACTTGGCACTTTGTTGTTGCTAGAAGTCATTTTCTTGTCTCCTCATGGTTAATCCATCTAGGTAACCTCCAATTATCTCCTAACACCTAGTAATTAAATCCCTTTATGCAAAATTTAACCTAATTGACCAAATTTCTCTCATTTAATGTACTAGCGGGTCCCACGTCCAATATACACTTCTAATTTTTCATTAACTAAGTTATATTAGGAAAATGATTTAAAAACTATATTTACTGATAAAATGTTGAGAAAAGTAATATAATAAAGAAAATAAAAGAAAACGGGGGCACAGGAATAAAATAATGCCTAAATTTTTTTTTTCTGGGTTCTCACATAAGTCCAATGTTGGATTACGGATCCAACACAGACAGCCTTTTTTTTATTTTTGATGCACAGCAGTGGCGAACGTCATAGAACAAGACGACGAAACTAAACTGTGCCGGTCGAAACGAGTGAAACATAACAAATTGAAATTGCACGACACACTACACAAACAGCATCGTTGTACCTATCAGGAACCACGCACAGCGCACGTGAAAAGACGACAAAAACGAAGCCGAACCAAAGAGCTCTTCGACTCTTATTCTATATAAGTTGAAAAAAAGGAAGCAGCCTATGCGTGTTCTCCAGTCTCACCAAGTAGTTGACCTAGGGCAATCTAGTCTTTTCACAATAATCTATCATTTTGGCCAATTTTGCCGTGTATCAAACGCGCCCCGGCGTTGAAAGAAAAACCCCAGAATACAGGTCATTCGCAAGACGAAGAAAGAAGTAAAAGAACCCCTTGTCAAATTCATCACTCCCTCTCCATCTCGATCCCTCCCGGTCTCGCTCTATCTCTATCTCGAAGACTGTTCGCGGATAGATTTCAATCGATGGTATGAAAATGTTATTTCATATATCTAATGTATTCTTAATTATTTTCTGAAATGTACTAATTTATTTTCTCAGTTGTCATATATAGGAATTAGGGTTCTTCGATATGAGGTTTTTTTTTTTTTTTTCAAATTTTCTGAATTAACTTTCAGGAAAGCCTATATAGAGGGGTGCCGAGGAAAGATATGAAGCCAAAAGGACGACACCATGGGTTAACTCAACAGAAGAAACAGGAGATTAGGGAGGCATTTGAGCTCTTTGATACTGACAATTCTGGTATTTTGATAATATTAGCATAGATCTTTGCCTAAAGAGTTCTGGTGCTTGATGTCTGCATATTTTTGATTGGCCGTATTTTCGTTATTTTCGTTATTCAGGTACTATTGATGCTAAAGAGCTGAATGTTGCAATGAGGTACCTGAGTAGAAGTAACTCTTTTAAATGAGAAGATTTTTTCTATTTTTTCTTGATTTCCAGATGTAATTTTGACATGTTGTGCTTTCTTTTTAATTGCAGGGCCCTTGGTTTTGAATTAACTGAAGAGGTAATTTTGACTTACTATGTTAGTCAAATGCTAGACATTTGTATTAGAAATGGAAGATTTCATTGGCTTGGGCGTAGTATTTACTATTTGGGTTAGGAAAGAAATTATTAAGTATGCAACTCTTTATACACCTGGAGGGTGAGAATTTGGTATAACAGGTTTAAGTCATAAGTTAGTTAAAATCATGGACTCTGCATGGTATTATTACTATTAACGGAGTGTAAATGCTTTTTGGGTTTCCCTGGTGGGGACATCAGTTGTGGTTTAGGATTTACCACTTTCAGTTATGAAGAAACTAATATTCAACGATACATCTTATTTACCTACCCAAAAAAAAAGCAGATACATCATATCTGTAGAAAATATTCCAATTTTATCCAGCTTACGAATCCTTATCCATTTGGGAAAGTCTTTTGCATTTGCAAAGTTCAAAAGACGAAGGAAGATGAATAAGAATCTTCTGCAGTTTATTATATTTTTCTTTAACTATGATATCATTCCCCATCTCCCAGAGTAAGTTTTATCAGGTAATTCAGGTCTATCGGTTGTCCAGGTAATTAGTATTTTGAAAAAGATTGTGTGTGAGCTATTTCCTACAGTATCATAACAAAGAATGCTTGGTTATGTGTACGATGGAGTAGGTCTATTCTGGTCTATTGACTTGAGACATTTGACTTACATTTTACCAAGATTGTGTTTGGGTTTACATAGTTGTTTTACCTGAGGGTAAATGTATTCAATTACATGTCAATACAACTGAAGTTCTGGCCTTGATGCAAGGGCAGGTCATAATTTCTTTGGATAGATTGTTAAATTGCTGGGGCAAGAAAGTGGGTGGGTTATCTTGATCTCTGTCCTTTTGTAGTGATGCCTCAGCAAAACAACTGTGCGGTTATTGTAAAGTTTACGTTCTCCCACTCTCTCGCTTTCTCTTTGTGTTTTTATCACATGCAACACACAAATACCTCCATCTACTCCTCATTCAAGCACATAGGGACAGCCAGGATGCGGACGGACTTATGGCAAGGGTTAATTGCTGATGCTAGTAGCATTCTATAAGTTTGATGAGGTTGAATAAGTTAAAAGTAGGATTCAGATGAACTCTGCTAATTTTTGCTAGCTTTGTCAAAGAGACCTGATGGTGGTGGTGGTCTTTTTTTTTTAATAATAAATCACCGTGGATGATGTGAGCGATTCTCCGAGCTCCTGCTCTTGAAGAAATGATCCAATAAGATAGCAGAAGGATTTATCTTAATCAGGTTATGGACAATTTGGGATGGATTCTAAACCAATCAAGGACCACTCGAGATTGATTAGAAAGGTAGAATAGTGCCACAACCAAACGCGATCTTTGATTGATAAGCCAGATTGAACTCTCGAGACCAACTCTAAAGTGTTCAAGGTCGCTTTAAAGAAGTTAAGAGAAAACTCTCTCTCAATTACACAGGTGTTTCTGAAAATTTGTCTACTACCTTTTATTGAACGAAATTGATGCCTTTTTATAAGCTTACAAGGCTTAACCTAACCATACTTGGACAACATAAGCTTCGTAATGTGACTTGGAAACTAACGAGACACAACTTATTGTATTAAACATGCTAGATATGCCTCAATAGGTTTACATGACCCAAACGGACACTTGGTAATAGAAAGTAACCTAAAATTACGAAATTGCTTAAAATATGAAAATCTGAAATGATGAAGACTGGCCCGGGACAGGCCCAGGACATTGCACTGGACATCTCCAGAAGCTCATACGAAAAGCACAAAAAACAAGAAAGGAACTGATCCGGCAGTGGGAGCTTGGAGATTCGAGTTGCTATCAGGGGATGACCAGTCTATTTAACATGGATGTATTAGTTCATAAATAGAAGTAAATATCAAAGAGGTAAAAACAGTTTGTGACTTTTTGCAGGGTCCAGGTGTAGCATTATTTTGATTTATATCAATAGCAATATTTTGAAAAATTTACACAGTAAAATCTACCATTCAACACTCTTAATCTGAAATGTTTACTTGAGCTTTTTGTGGTTATTCCTCTTGTAATTTCTCCATTCATATAAATTATTATCCAATTTGGAAAATGTGATGGCAGGAAGTATAAAATATGAGGCATGAGAATCACAGAGAAATTTTACTAGGGGTAACACATTAATAAAGAAGTCTTTAACAGAACTACTTTTTGACTCCCCCCCCCCCCTAAAAAAAAAATCTCTAGGTACAAACTGGATTTCTCGCAAAACCAACTGTATACAATGGCATCTTTCTTAGAAAAGCTATTCCTGTATACTACAAGAGGAGGTTGTTTATGTTGTTTTTGGCTCACTTTTCACTGAAATTACCTTCAGTCATCCATGATTTTTTTATTTGCATTAATTAGCAATAGTTTGAAGAATACTAATCTATTGTACTAGTAGTGCCAAACTTGCATACCATTTGGAATGGGCTTGGACCAAAAGGATTAGGTCAGGTAGCTTGGGCTGTCCTTTTTGTTTACCTAGTGTTCTGAAGTATGTAGAGGAGGATCCTGAAATGAAAGGGAAAAAGTAGGTTGGATGATGCATGGGAATGCGAATGGATCTGAAAATTTTCTCCGTTTTGGAAATGATAATGGTGGATTGTAAATTGTTGTGACCTTAGAGGAAGGAAGATTCATGTAAGTTAGAACTTAATGTGCTAGATGTCTTGAGAAATCTGAATGAGGAGATTCCTGCTTTTTATGCTCATTGGATTCAGCTGGACTGTGGAAGTACTCGAAAAAATTCTGTTCTTTAAAAATTGTACTGCTATTATTTTTAGTGTCTTTTAAAATCTTGTACCTGTGACAAGGATGAAATAGTAGAAAAAGTATGTGGGGAACTTCATCTTATGGAAAGTTTTCTCCGTTCTATGTTGCTCTGGAAATTTGGCTGCAGCTACATTGACATTAATACGAATGCTTAAGAGTTTGCTCCAGATTGATTTGTCTTTCACTAGATGTCTTCATAAGTATAGCTTTGCACCTTTTGGGTTTGTCATCTACTACTCTATAAGATTGAACTGTCTTGGTACTTTTGATGAATCCACTGTTAAGAATTTCAGTCTTGACTTCTTTTTTTTATCCAGGAAATTAATCGAATGATTGCAGAAGTGGACAAGGATGGCAGTGGTGCGATAGACTTTGATGAATTTGTGCATATGATGACTGCCAAGATTGGCGAAAGGGACTCTAAAGAGGAACTCATGAAAGCATTTCATATTATTGACCAAGATAAAAATGTATCCTTTACTATTTTGCCTTGTATTTTACTTGTCCTGTGTGCTTGAATGCTGCTTCTTGTTTTAAGTGGCTCTGGTGTTATGCAATGTAGGGGAAAATATCCATCGCAGACATTCAGCGTATCTCAAGGGAATTGGGTGAAAATTTTACTGAGAGAGATATTCAGGAGATGGTTGAGGAAGCAGATCGTGACCGTAAGTTTCTGTTGTATAGCTGCTTTTGGTTTGGTTGCATTGCATACATCACGCTGAATTTCTTCTGCTATGATTTGGTTGTGTTACACATTCCTATTAGCACTTGCAACTCTATCCTATGCTCAATTCAAGAGGACATTTTCCCCCATGAATAGTAAAATAAATTGAGCTATATCTGCTTCTCAAAAAAAAAAAAAAAAAAAAAACTTTAGAGACTTTGGAAATTTTAGGTTGTGGATGTACTGCCTTGTACTTACCCCTGTTTTGAGATTTTTGTTTAAACCATGGTTCACCATATATCACAGGTTTATAAGTATATCAAAGGTTTTGAAGCTTTTGATCATGTTTTTCTCCTCGTTAAGGTCTGAAGGTTGCTTTGTGAATTTGGAAGATAGAAATTAATCTTTTGACTGTAAGATTGGAAGTTCTATCTTCCAAATTCACAAAGCAACCTTCAGATCCTATTTTTTCATTCAGATCCGTAAGATTGGAAGTTTTCCTGCTAAACTTCTGCGCAGCAGAGGACAGAGCCTATTTTCACTAAGGAAGACGATGTAATCTATCTGATGGGTCAAGAATTTAGACTATGAGGCCAAGATTTCACTCTATTTACCAATATACCACTGATATGTTCCACCATGTTAGTTTAACGTTTTATAAGTTACACTACTAATTCATCTTTTGAAAATAGAATAATCTAATAAAGAAGTTGACCAAATCATTTTAGGGACTTGATATCCCTTAAAGAAACCATTTTCACTAATTAGATATGAAAAATTACTTTTTAATTGGAACATAAAATTGTCGCATAGCAACAAAAGCTTAAATTTAGACATATTTAACATGATAAACAGAGATATTTTAACTCGTTTCACTTGTTCATTGAATTGCTCATAGAATTTTCTATCTTTCATGAATTTTCACAATTTTAAAGCACTCTGTATAGTAAAAAATGCGTATCACCAGATTTTAGTCTGATGCACCATGTTCCATATAGAACGGAATGCTACATGACGGTTACTGATTCCACGACGTCGAACCATGGTTTAAACTAATCTAATTTGTACAGAATAAAAGAAAGCTGCTTAACAAATTTGAGCCTGTTCTAGTACAATTCTCTCTCTCCTGCTGTTTCCAAAACATTTTTTTTGAGGGGACACCCTTTTGTGCTTTGTTGCTGGCTTTCTTTAGGTCATGTTATAGACACCTTTCCGTGCTTTGTATCTGAGCTAGTTATCTAGGAACATGTTCAGAAATACCATTGACTTTGTGAAGTTTCCTTTGATGTGGCATACTATATAAGGAAATACTCGGCCCTATTTCAGTAAATAGTTAAGTATGTCAATTGCGGACTCGCTATATATATATATTTCTCTTTCTCATATAATCTCCCCATCGAGTATATTCACGTAGACAGTTCTTATGATCATTAAGATTTTCCCATCTATTATCAGCTCAGAAGAAGCATCTTGAATTCATTGAAATCATGATAGGACAAATTTGTTTTTTTGTTTTTCTGTAAATGATGCCATTTATTAACTTATTTAACTAAGGTTATTCTTAATTATTCAGATGATGGGGAAGTTAGTGCTGAGGAATTCATGAGGATGATGAGAAGAACCTCTTATGGCTACTAAATTTCGACTTATTGCTTTGCCAACATTTTTCAGGCGGTTTGTTTGCTGTTCTTATTGTATAAATAGTTGCCAAACGAATTGGATGAATCATGAAACTTGGAGTAGATTTAATCTTGAGTCTCTGGTTTGAGTATATTGAAGTTGGTATTGAATACTATTCAATGTGAATATTGGATGAAATTTGAAATCCCTAATGCTTGTCTATGAAGTTGTTTGAACTTTGGAATGATGTAAAATGGTTACTGTTGAAAAGGGATTCACATCATTGAGCTCATGTTCTTTTCTTACTTCGTGTGATATTCTGATCCTAGACCTCTTTAGTAACTAGCGCATCTGGTAAATTTGTCTTGGGAGGGGGGCACTGTTCCTGGACGATGTAATAACTCTTCAATATATTGTAATTCACCGCAAACTGAATGCCCACTTTTACAATAAAGATATTTGGGTGATATTTAGGTGGATCCTTGTATTTTTGTTGTGTCAGAATTATGTGCCGTTATCTAATCCGCATAATTTGAATTTCAACATTGTTGGCCCATTTTGGGCCATTTATTCTTTCTCCGGTGGAAACAATGAACAACATAAAGAATGGCTGTAAATGGAGATCTTAAATATGGCCTGTGTAAGGGCAACTACCCCTTCTTTTGACTAACGAAGGGCACGGTGTTTCCCCTGCATTTGACGCTAATGTAGTAACATCGTATGAAACAAAATGAAATGGTAGATGAAAACGTAGGAATTTAAACTAGTTCTAAAACAAGTCACACAGTGTCATACAAGCAGCTTAATCAACACATCAGTCAAAACCCGTAACATGTTTAAAATCTGATATGTATTTGTACAAATAGCTCGGTCGGTGGATCTGAATCAGTTGATTTTGCGACAATTTGCCCTCACCTCTCCTTTGGGGCCTTCTTTTACATCAAGCAAGCTCATTTTCAGCATGGCTTGCTGGAAATCCATGAAAAACATAGCTTGGTTGAAAGAGTAACCATCGACAATTGGTTTAGTTCTTGGACTAACAAAGAGAGTTTGATCGGAGAAAAGCACCCCAGCTTTCCTTTGCAATTGATTGTAGTAATCGTTGTCAAAAATGTTCCTTGTTGTATCGAAGGGCTGCTCAGCATTGTCACCTGCACTACATGTTTTGGATAATGTTTTCAGAAATTGCGTGTCTATGGTTGGATCCACATCATGAGTGGAGTCGAAGTTACTCAATCTCCGCTTGAATGATGAGCATCTTGCAACTCCTAGAGTGTGAGCCCCTGTAGAAAACCAAAAAAGTTAAAAAGCATTCAAATATGTGAGGATACAGCGGCCTTATCCCCCATGGTGCTTATATTGCCCCTTTTTTGTTACTAATGAACAATTTTTTTAAGTGTAGCTACAACTAAGATATTAGACTTCTAGATTATACTGTTTTTCGTTGAGGTTTTCATTCACTTTCATCTTCTTTTTTTTTCTTGAATATTAAAGTAAAGATGATAAGCCTTGTAAAAAGTAATATATAAAAACCTCTAAGTTTTTACTTAATGAAGCAATTCAAAAATGAAAGGCAAATCAAACCACTCAAATTGGCAGGCTATGCCTCATGTCCTCTTTGATTTTTGGAAGGAAAAAACTTTTATTAATAAAAAGCAACCTAATGATCAGTTAATGCTGCATAAACAAAGACATCAAAAACTAATATGAGTTGATCAATACTCTCTTGGTAACGAGTGTATTGTGTTTGAAGAAATACCAGATAAAGCCACCATTTCTTGGGCAGTGAAACCATGCTGACCAAACATCCTGATAAGCTCCGAAGCATTCAAACTGGGTGCAGGCAGATTGATTGTGTCTTCTATTCTTGATCTCCTTCCATCCTTTCTTCCTTTAGGTATATCATAATAGGGTCCTCCAGCCTGCAATAGCACAAATACTTGAAGAATAAAGGACTAATTCCACTTGTTGGAACTGTATCACTTGTAATAATTTTCGTCCCACACCTCCACCTAGATCATCTGGCTACCATTTATCCGTTACTTTCAAGGTTTTCTTAACTGATTGGACCTAATCATTGCTTTTATCCTGTCATTGGTGATGTTTCCTAATAAATTAGGTCAAAATTACAGAAGCAATCCTACATTGGTAGTCAATGCAAAAGTGTCATATAGTTTATGGCTAAAACTACCCAGGAAAACACATGAGGTGGCTGTCTACTGGAGGCCTAGAGGTACTATATTTATTAATAGATACTGATTGTTTTTTATGATATAGGGACTGGAATGAAGTAAATTTTCTTCTTTATTTTATTTTCAGGAAAATTTTAAAGTATATCATACTGGCAATACAGTACGTGTGTTATTATAACAGGAGATATCAAAAAGTGGTTTTAAATTCCTATAAAGAAAGTTCAAGGAAGTAAAGTACTACTCTGGTAATAGTAGAGGGGACGTACAGAATAACTATATGTTAAAATAAATAATATTTCAGGTTGAATTTTAAGTTATAATATTATTTAGACTTAAAGGAAGGATTTTCAAGTGTAAACTGTAGGAAAAATATATTTATCCTTATCGTGTTCTCGAAGTATTATAGCTGTTAGATGGATCACCCTTTATTACACCAAGACTTGCTAAGGAGTGAAAAAGCATTTGTTACAAGGAAATGAGGAGTAATCTTACGAAGAAAACTGCTGTGGTGGCAGCCATTGCAACGATATCAGCGCACGAGACAGCACCAGGACACTGCTCTTCCAGTTGTTCTTTCACATCATCGATTATCTCGTAACCCCTCAAGCTCAAATTGGCTGGGGAGTCTTTTTCTGCAGTGTTATCTTTTGTAGAATCAATCAGTATTGATGCATCACATCCCTGCATTATGGTAAATATACCAAGACAGATTGTCAATGGTCATACAAGTACACAAGCAACCATGCTCTTAAACAGGTCCCATTAGCATGCGCATCTATTGTGTGTAGTATGAGCATGAGAGAGAGAGAAAGAGAGAGAACCTGAATGAAACAGTCATGGAAATGCATTCTAATAAGGGCTGCAGCAAGAGTGGGATCAGATTGCAGAGCCCTATTGACAGTATTTCTCACAATTCCATCGGCAAATGGACAAGTCATTAAGTAGTAGCCCATGCTCAGGCCATCTACTCCAATTCTCCATCCACTGACTAATATATTCAATAGCATTATCACAAGAAACAAATTTAGAGTAGCCATATGACCTGGTTTTGAAGTTGATTGCAGCGACAGCATCGACCTAAAAGACTAATATGTTCAAGCAATAGAAGGAAATAGAATTTGTATAAGATGTGAAATATGTTTGGAAGTGACTGTTTTCTAACTATGCAAAATGGGATGTATTTATAGGTGCAAATGATTGGAACAAATAACTCAGACGATGGTAAAAAGTGGAAAACAGTTGATCTACTGTTTCTTCCACCTAATCAATAAAATCAATATGATAATCCTAGTTAATTGCATGGCACTTGTTCTCAGGTTGACATGTTACTAATTTGCCCATTAGTGGCCATGCACATTGATATAATATACCAAATTGTGCACTAAAGCTTCATATTTGTAGATTAAAGTGCACAAATAACACAATAATTGTCGTAAAATATATTGATACATCAGTCATTCACAAGTTTCTGTATCTCAAAAATTTAAAAGTATAAGTAGGGATTACAATTTGTCAAATAGAAATTTAAAGATTAAAAACTGCACACAAAAGTCAATCCATTGTGGATGATGTGCCTTCACAACATTGCTTCACTTTGTATGGGGAAAGGTCTTGATTGTGGTGCATGGAACTTTCTTTATGACTCTTAGGATTTAGTGGGAAAGTTTATGTTGAAGTTAAAAAAAAAAAAAAAAACTCTTTATCCCTTTGCATGTCAAATACACTTTTCTAGAACGTGTCCCAATATTCTAATCTTAGTCAATCACTAATGGCAAATGTGGATCTTTCATCCAATAAACAGACATGATTCTGCTTGTTTCTAGAGTTACACTAACCAAGTGGAAAATATACCCTCTCCATTTGCTTGTGCTTTGGAAAAATAACATGTTTATCTTAGGAACATGATAATGGCTTCTGATACTCGAATTAGCTTGATTTTTTATAAACTTTGGAGATGATGTGCAACTATAGCCAATAATTGAAGCTTTAATCACCATGAATTACCATATTAACAACAAAACCAGTGGCCAGCTTGTGCTCCAACAAGTCAGATATGTATTCCCCACCACTGCTTCAAGTACTAATCGATAATGAACTGATAAAAATTGCTCGATCCTATGTATCTTATAATGGAAAAGTAAATTGATCCACGTCAATGAATTTAAAAGAATATAAAAAAGGTCGAATTGATCGAGTTACCAATCGCTTTGTCCATAGAATTAAGCATGCACAACCCTCTCTTCCACTAACCGCCTGATCCCATGGAAATGGAGCGCGTACCAAAAGGGTTCCATGTTTTTGCAGCTTCACCACTTCTAAGACAAATGCTTTTTAAGGAAATAGCAACTACCGTATCTTGATATTCCCCACAATTTGACAGTTCTTGGATCTTACATTTGTTTTAATCTAAATTTGACTTGTCGTTAATTATTAATTAAAGAAGCTTTTTTCCCTCCACATATGTACAGTTTCATTGACAAGACGGCAAAAATGTGCTTGAGCATTGGTTAGACAAATTAACTGATTTAGACAAGATAAACGATGATTATACACTTTTGTCACCCTACCAAGATGGATGAACAAAAGGTCGAACCAACTCATTTTCAAAAAAAAATTAGCACTTGACCATGCATTGAGCTTTGTGGACGCTGTTGATCAAGTTGCATTAATAAATTTAAAAATTTATAGACTGAAATAATTGAAAATGAATTATAAGAGGACAGATCATTTCAAAGTCAAAATGTGGAAGTGGAAAATATGATGCCACTCTCAAATAGCATAGCTGGTTCGCATATTGAAAGTGCATGCTTGAGACAACCACGTTTGGCATCTTCTTAGAAGTGGGAAGAACTCGTCTTTGTTTAGTTAAAAGAAATGATTCAACATTTTAGTACGCACATGCATTGGAACAAGTGCTAAGCACACGGCTTTGGCCTTAGTTTGTTTTTGTGGCAATGCGTGAGTTCTTGTTGTCGATCTTAAAGATTTTATAAACACTAGTGTGTTTGGATAGAAGATTATTTTTTTTAAAAAAAAATTGTTTAGAATAATACAATAGTATTTTTTATGATGTAATATATGTAAAATAAAAAATAATTAA